TATTAAATGATAGTAGAATAATATAGGTTTTCGTGGCCGATTACACCAAGTTTTCATTCAATTTAACGCCTGGCTTATTTAATTTAGATTTAGAAATTGAAAGATCACGCAGTGACCGAAATTCGACAATCAAAATAAATCATTCAATTTCTCTATCTGGGCATTTTATCGTCTTTTAGCTTCATTCGTCCCTGTAAAAGATGCACTCAAATTAAAAGTACCCCGTTGTTCATTCAATTTTGTCTGCGTACCAGCAGCAAGGGGTTGATCGGGCATTCCTTTGCATTAATGAGCAAATATATTTAACAGTTTTTCGAGCATGTTTTAAGATTTCCTGCATGTAAGATTCTTAATTATCTCGGCGTAAATCATACCTGATGTCTTCAATCGGTAAATGCACACCTATCTTTCTCAATTAAAGGGTCCGTGAAATGATTGTTCAGGAATATATTTTCTGCAACTATCTACTGTTCTGAAATGTATGAAAACTACACATTGACATCCTTTTTTGGTTAATCTTATTGCATCTCCAACTCCCTAGCATGCCCATCCTTCCAAATTCCAACTGCACAGACATATTTTTGGCTTTGATTCTGTAGGAGGTGCCAACCCAAACTGTAAAAGACTGTCAGTTTAGGCCTACTGTACCCATCTTGACAGATTCCAACAAAACATGCCGTTTGGGGTTGATGGGTTGAGTTATGTAAGGGTACAAGTTTCCATGCTTTTCCGGACTGCTGAGCGTGACAAATGAATGTTATGGTGATGTCATTCTGGAAGACACTGTTTAGTTTTCATTTCATTTCATTTATTTCCCGACTTCATACACAGACAGAGAACAAGAGTACAGCATTAACAAACACAGAAAATACAAATACTAAACACAATGTCATAAGAACAGTGAAGTGGAGGGACCCGTAGGAAGCAGAGCTTGTCGAGTACGGGACCCATGGACAACAAAGTTTGGAAAATAAAGAGACTTATTTGATTATGTACAGGTCAAGTTAAATTGGATAAGTTAGACGAAATATAACAAACAAAATAATAACAGTTACAGGGCCAAAAATACATAAATAAGTTGTGTCATCAGCGGAAGTACGTAATGAGAACATGAAATCAAACAAACACATATAACAAAAGAACTATATATATATATATAATGTGTAGCAATAGCAAACAGGATTAAGCAGCTTGGCAAAAGAAAAACATAAGTTTCATAAATTAGAACATAAGGTTAAATTAAACAATAGGAACTGATTTTAGAATCTTTAAATTTGTTTTTGAAGAGACACAGAGTTTTGGCATTGTGCAAGTTTGTATGAAGGAAATTCCATAGTTGAAATATGCATGTAACACTAATTATGACCGGAATAACGTCAAAGTTTTGCTCATAAACATGAACTTTGCATTAGCATACAAAGGAGAATGCACAAAAGCACCGTTTAAAATTAGAGGAAAAAATGAAAATGAGGTTAAATGTGATATAAAGAAGTTTTTTATTTCAAAGTTTGCATTGTAAATTACTTTGCATATGAGCCCTTTAAATAAGTGTCCGGCCAGACATACGAAAGAAAACATTGAAGAAATTACCCATGAGAAGTGTTCTCGATGGTACAACCATTGCCAAACATACATGCCCCATGTCTTGCACGTCAAGAAATCGTCAACGTAAAGATGCCCCTTGCTTAAACGTTTAAACAAGTAGAAAAGATCATCAGTGGACAAGAAATTGTCTTAGCCCTTTTCATTTCATTATTTCGTTCAATCTTGTATTCCCTAATATCAGTTAATTTGTTAAATTTTACAGTCACCAAGATTTTTTGTTGGGGGGGGGGGGAGGCGCGGTTCTACGGGGTAAATTTCGTAAAAAAAATTGCATTAGCAAAAAGAAGGATTGTGATGTACATGCGAACGGTCTACCCCTAAAGAAGAATGGCCGTGACAAGGGTGCATTAGTTAATTAATATAGTGTGAATGATTTTAGGATTTTATTGGCGCTCCCCATTGAAAATATGGCAATATCCCCCCCCCCCCCAAAAAAAAATATTGGTTCTAAAACCGCGCCGGGGGGGGGGGGGGGAATGAACCTTGAAGGAAAATAGCAAAATTAGGTTTTCCCGGCCGATTTCCTAAAATGTTCAGTCACTTCTGAAAATTGGTCATTCATTTTCGTCTGAATTTGAGAATCCGCTCTGAACACGCGTTGGTGCCGTATGCTGTTACAGTTACCCAGACCTCATGTACCTATAGGGCGGGCGGGCACGCCTTCGGCATTCATGTGCGTCAATCGGTGGGGGGGGGGGGGGGGGGTTAGTCGGGACGGGAAAAGGACAATGTCTCTCCCCCCCCCTTTTTTTTTAAGTCTCCGGGTTTTCATATCGTTTGTGTCCACCCCCCCCCCCCCCCACACACACACACACACAAACACCCAGACAAACACACATTCGTCCCCGAATAAATTTGTAGGCCACAGTTTGATTTTATACATTGTAGCTCAGGATATATGTAGCTGATTCAATGACTCTCAACTCGAAAATGATATGTAATAAATGATGATCTAGCTTTTGCTAAAAAAGGCAGAACGCTTTTCAAACTGGGGAGGGGGGGGGCAACACCAAAAAGGGGCACTTGCTCAAAAAAATCATGGGCAACCTCTGTCGGTACGGTGTGAAAGTGAAGGAAAAGAATATGGTCCCGTTCATTTCGCTATATTAATATGACGAGGAATGAAATAATCATGTTGTCCATCTTGCTCTTTGTCTTTCCTGGTCCTAGCTCCATATGTAGCTACAGGCCATATTGCGAGCGATAGGGGCACTGTTGCTTTTTAATGGCCATTTATGTGACCATTTTATTCGCGTGAAGAGCACTACTTATTTTAGGAGCAATTTTTCATCTTGGGGGCACAATTAATTTAAGTTGCGAGCGGGGCACTATCTTTCGAGGCGCAATTTTCCATCTCGAGAAGTTGCACAAAAAGCGAGAGGGGTACTTGTGTGTTTGAGGTGCAGTTTTGCGTTTATACAAGAGAGGAGACAATTTTATTTGTAGCGCGGTCATATGCTTTCATACGTTTGCGTTTGAGGGGGCAGTTTCGTTTTCATCTCGAGGCACATGATTAATAACCACGAGAGGGGCACTATTATTGGCCTGGAAAAATCCCCCCGGTTCCGCCGCCGCTACCCACGCTGTTAAGTTATAGGCTTTGCGCTACGCGCTCGCAATACTTTAAATCACATTATGTCCCCCCCCCCCCCTTGGGCGCCACATTTCACGCCCCCCCCCCTTTTGGAAAATCCTTGATCCGCCCCTAATTGTTTTCTTACAGAAATGTCATTGTCAAACTGTAATGTTACAATCATGCAGGAAAATTCCTCCCTGGCCACCCCCCCCCCCCGGCATCAGGTCAACTCGGACCCAAACCAAGTCGGACCCATGCTAAGTCGGACCCACGCCAACTCGGACCCCCGCCAACTCGGACCCACTACCAACTCGGACCCACTACCAACTCGAACCGAAGACCAACTCAGACCCACTACCAACTCGGACCCACTACCAACTCGGACCCAAGCACGACCAACTCGGACCCAACAATGACTTAATCATTAGTTTCAGAGATTATATTTAAAGGTCATCTTAAGTTACAGTGCTTATATATAGTGAACATATTCTGTACTAATATTGGTCAGAATGGGGCTTTTAATTTTGTTGTTTGATCATACTACGTTGATTTTAATTATTTTTGGGTACTTGGAAATGGCACGTTTTGTTTATACTCCTGTCATTTAATAATAATATTGTTTACCCATTTAGGCAGTTAATTTCATTTAATTATATATTTAAATTCACTTACTTTGTTTTTTGGTAAAGCATATTACACATTTTGTTCAGTGAGGAAGTTATTAATTTGAAATAGACCTTTCATTTCATGTAATTGTTAGTTTTTTTAATTGTTTTTTTTTTACGAATCTGTTTAACTTTTAATATTTTTTTGATTAACTTTTTCCCCCGTGGAACATCATAGTCGAACATACAGGCAGCTACATGTAAGGCCTTGAAGGATAATCTTCCCAGAGCTCCAACACTCCTTTTTGATGATTTACATTTCATCTTTTTGTAGGGTACTTAATAAGTTTATCTTTTTTCACATGCTGGCTTTTAATTTTGTGGTTTTTTTACGAATCTGTGTAACTTTTTATACTTTTTTGATTAACCTTTTTTGTTCAATATGGAACCTTCGTTTTTCTTGCAGGGTATGCAATGGTGTTTATGTGGGTTTTGTTTTAAATACATGTACATGTACAAATTAGATAGAATAGACTTTGTTTTTATACCTTATTTATTTTTATTTAATGACTTATAATATGTTTACTTATATTCATTGAATTAATAATGCCATGTTTGAAAGTGTTTATGTTTCAATGTCTTACTTTCCAATTTTATTTTTCCATGAAGATCTCTGTTCTGAATTTATGTGGTTTGAACTAAAAATGAAATAAATCGCTGTTAAATTGAGCAAGATGGCGTGAACGATGTCAAATATGAACATGAATAATTGGTTAAACTTTAATTTTAATTACTTTTGGTTAAAGCGCAATACGTTTCAATGGAAACAAATAATAAAAATGAATAATTAATTACACTTTTAAAGCGCATTTCAATGCACTTTACAACGACAAACTGCTGCCATACAGATATTTTACCTGACAACTACAATGAAAATTTATACTTAACAGCATCACTGTATTAACAGATGATAAGTGGACAAACTTTATAATATTGTCGAATGATTGAAAACGCTGTCGAATTATTGTAAACGATGGGTCCGAGTTGGTCATGCATGGGTCCGAGTTGGTAGTGGGTCCGAGTTGGTTGTAGGTCCGAGTTGGTAGTGGGTCCGAGTTGGTAGTTGGTCCGAGTTGGTTGTCGAGTGGTTTGGGTCCGAGTTGGATCGAAACCCCCCCCCCCCCCGGCCCCTGACTCGGTGACAACGTCACGGCATAGTCAGGGAACCAGACTGCGTGCAACAATGGCGACTTCGGTAGCTTCAGCGCATTCGGCAGGAGGTTTGTCTTTTTATTGTATCGAAATAATTCATGATATTGGTGTTAATTATTTGATTTTATTATATCAATGCATAGTAAAACCTCTTTCAAGTCTTATATCATGAAGGTTCTGTAAATAAGGCAAGAAAAAGGCCAGAAGAGAGACGATAGATGTGTGTCCATCGTCCCTAGGAAAGGATTATCGTACTAGTGCCACGTAGTCGTAGTCGTACCAACCTCGTCCCCAGGGTGTCGAGCAGTACGCGCCCACCACTACCTGCTCTCTCACCCTGGTAAGTGGTATTGGATCATTTGCATGTGCAAGATTTTTGAACAAGTATGCAAATTAGGAGTAGTCTAGTGCCAGCCTGTGCGTTACATTTGCGTTTGTTTTTGAATGCGGTGTCTGGGGTAGAAACAGAATCAATTCGTCGCAGCGCAAGCATGGCGTGAGTTACGAAAACATGATTTTATTTTAATTAAACTGTTACGATCTTAACGAGAGAACATGCAGTATCACATTTCATATTATTGTAGTAGCTGGAAAGCCACATATCAAGGGTCGACTCGTCGGCAGGCCTCGCCGTTGTTTTATTCAACAGATGACATGACAAATGACAAGCTTCAGATCTATCTCTTATCTAGCTTTATGATCCCGAAGAAGACAAGACTTCTTTCAGTAGAAGTAAAAACCCTGAAAAATTACATTAAGTGAGGTGACAATTAAGTTTCTAACAAAGTAATCGGTCTGATTTATAAATATTATTAAATAATAAATTATACAGATAAACCTACCCCAGTGCCTTTGGCTTCCGTTATTTAAGGATACACAAAACAGCACAGCTCACAGCTTGGAGAGAAAGCCCTCGAACTGGTCTACACGTCGCAGACTAGGTATGTCTGGCTATGCCAGGCTCAGCCAAAAGAAAAGTTATCGTCTTGCACTTCAATAATAGTACGCCAAAACAGCGTAATCTCCCTGCATCTGCAGCATGCACTGGCTTTTGTGCGCTGTGTCAATAGTACGCCAAAACAGCGTAATTTCCATGCATCTGCAGCATGCACTGGCTTTTGCGCGCTGTGTCATATAGTCAAGCACAAATATAGCATATTAAGTTAAAGGTTTTTGTACAGAACTACTAATGGTGGGTACGATATAATTCAATATTTTTCCTTTTTGGAAATAAAAGTTTAAATCAGCAGTAACTTTACAATACAAGTTTGGTCACACGCTATTCAACTCAGAATGTGTGTAGCGGTTTTCTGAAAAGGTAATCAATAATGTGAACTAGCTTTACTTAAGCTTCGACTTTGGTTCCCATAAATCATATAGTGTATATGAACCATGGATATAAAAGTGTAAGTTAAACAATATAAAATAAAAGTTAAACAGTGCACCGGAATCTCTTGATACACTTGTTAAGACACGAGCTACTGTAGGCGCTGTTTGATCCCTACATGGAATTGCTAGGGAGAATTTAGTGTAGGCATCAGTAAGTACGAGAACATTTTCAATCTTCCCCTTACCGACATCAAGTTTGACAAAATCGATAGCAAGGCGTTCAAGAGGTTGAAACGCCAGCAAATGCCGCATTGGCGAACGAATTGTTGGCGTTGGCACTTTCGTCAACGTACAACGAAAACACGTCTGAACGTGATTTCGGACACAATTCGTCATTCCCGGCCAATAACAGCGCTGCTGAAGAAACGCCAATGTTCTGATTATGCCTTGGTGGCCCCAATGGTCGTGGGCTGCTTCCAAAACTAACTTACGGAGTTTTTGCGGAACAAGGAGTTGGAAAACAGTCCCTCTAGCTGGATCAACAGTTTCCCTATACAAAACGCCATTGTGTTCTGTTATTCGTGGCCATTCTTTCAACCAACCACGCACTTCGGAAGTGAGTTTAACATCATCCATATTTTGGCAAGGCTTGCATTTTTTTATACCAACTGTCCCACACAACTCGTAACGACTGATCTTCTTTCTGAAGGAAGGCAAGCTCCTCATGTGAGAACGAGGGGAGCACCGCAGGGGCAGAACCGGCGGTCTCCTGTGATGTGCCTTCTGTCTTTTGGGTATGCGTTTCGGGCGCATTCTGAGCTGACACATCAATGGGTACTTGTGAACCCTCGCAGGTGAGTCCATAATTTAGTAGTTCAACGCAGGTTACTGAGGCGACATGAAGATAGCGGCTTAGGGCGTCAGCACACTTATTTGTCTTCCCGGATCTATATTTTATCTCAAGATCGAAAGGTGCTAATTGGGCTATCCATCTCTGCTCAGTAGCACCAAGTTTTGCCGTTTGTAGGTGAGACAGAGGGTTATGGTCAGTCCACACGATTGTGTGGTAACCAAGCAGGTAGTCGCGAAATTTTTCTGACACTGCCCATTTCAAGGCGAGTAATTCCAGCTTGAAACTGGATAAATCGGCATAATTTGTCTCTGCTCCGCGTAGACTTCGACTCGCGTACGCGACTGAGTGAAGTTTCCCACTGTCATCAGCCTGACACGCGCCTAAACCCTTAGCAGAACATCCTTCTCAAGTACAAAGTCGCGATCAAAGCACGGATATGCCAAGACAGGGGCCGTGCACAGTACGTCTTTCAAAACATTGAAAGCTACGTCGGCCTCTTCTGTCCAAACGAATGGGGCTGTGGCCTTCCCTGCTTTTGATTGTGCTTTACCGGTGAGCGCGTGTAAAGGCTCTGCAACGCCTGTAGTACGAGGCTAACCCAAGGAAGGAACGCAGTTGATTTGCAGTTGTTGGGGTAGGCCAATACCTCACTCGTTCGGTTTTATCAGGATCTACTGACACTCCGTTAGAGTCTACGACATGACCCAAATGAACCACGGAATCTCTGAATAACTGACACTTTGACCCGTTTAGTTTGAGATCGTATTGTTTGAAACGACTGAAAACTTTGTCAAGTCTCTCAATGTGGCTGTCAAATGTGGCAGAGTAGACTAACAGGTCATCTAGATAGAGAATCAGCTCCGACAGGTTCAGATCTCCGAAAATGTGTTCCATTATTCTCTGAAACGTACTTGGGCTGTTGATGAGACCCTGGGGAAGACGTAAAAATTCATAGAGTCCCCAAGGTACCCTAAACGCGGTCTTATCAATAGAATCTTCTTCCATGGCTACTTGGAAGTAGCCATGGGCCATATCTAAAGAAGAAAATACTTTAGCGCCACCAAGAGCCTCTAGGGTTTCGTCTATCCTCGGCAATGGAAATGAATCTTTGGCTGTCTTCGCGTTTAAGCAACTGTAGTCAATACATAATCTGAGTTGGCCACTTTTCTTACGCACAAGAACGATGGTACTCGCGTAAGGACTAGATGATCGACGTATTATGCCCCTATCTAGAAGATCCTGAAGCAGGGTCTTCACTTCTCCAACCTTAGAAGGTAATATTCTCCGATAAGGGAGGTTCACTGGAGTATCATCGCTCAGCCGTATTTTGTGAGGGATGATGTCACAATAACCCAAATCAAAGGGCCCGGCTGAGAAAACATCGATATAATTTTTAATTAATTCCGCTGCCTTAATAGCGTCTTCTGGTGCTAAGTGTTTAAAGGTAAGACCAGGAGACATGACAAAATTGGTGCCGTCTGGAAAAACAAAGGTTTCCCTATTTTGGCTATCTGTCAGTGCATCCTCTTTTAACTCATGCTCATTGCAAGGCAAATTGCTATCTATGGAGTCATTCGGTTCGTTTTCTTCGCGAACACTGGCTACAACACGGTGCACTGACACGTGAAGCCCATCCCCATCCTGCTCAAGGAAAATCTGCTCCTCAGTATTAATTGCAGATAAAACTGCTACCTGAGTGAGCGCCGGGATAATCAAGGGCTCTGCACTAGCATTTGCTATATACAAGTTAATATTTGCACCGTCAATTTGTCCGACACCTTCAAGCACCTGACATATGAACCATCTTCGTTACCCGACTTTACTTCTCGGAAACTACCATTGTTAGACAAGCAAAGGGGAATGCTGCTCACTAAAAAAACTCCTTGTTATGCAACGAATTTAAGTCGTGGTCGTTCAAAATACACTTGACACTATCCACAGTTTGCGGGGGCACAACAACACGTTCACACGTGTACACGTCTGCTCAACCAATACTGCGGTTTGCAACCAACGGAGTGCTAGATCCCAGTCTGGATCTAGCTGAACAGACCCAATTCTCTTCGAATTGGCTGCAATTCGCCTCAAAATGTTACAGCCAAGTATAACGGGGCAATAGTTTTTCTGGGAGACGTTAGCGGATGCTACCGTCTCTCTAGAAACTACGAAAGTAGCCTTAAAACTTTGGCCCAAAACTTCTAATGAGGTCTCTATGTAACCTTCTACTGGGATTTCGAGATCATTGGCGCCCATCAGTTTGATGAGCTTGCCCACGGGCTGTAATTTCCCCAAGGTGTTTGCTACATGTTTTTGATAAAACTGGCTTGACAGTAAAGAGACCTCAGCGCCTGTGTCAAGCAAACACTTTGTGGTGACCTCATTCACGATAACAGTTGCAGTAGGGCATTTACCGAGGAGCCTTTTACGAATCTCGGAAGCGGAAAGATTGACACTCCCGGCCAGTGGCTCATCCCTTTCAATAACATAATTAGAAACAACTGAAATATCGGGTACACAGTCCGTGGGCAAAAATACGGTGTGAGCCTCCGTTACACTGCCCTCTGCGACGGAGGATCCACGTTTCCCGAGGTATGGCCTTCTGCGTTCTTGCCAGCATGTTCTACAGGCTTTGTATTTTCGATTCGCTTTCGCTTGTAGCAATTTTCAGCAGTATGCCCCGGCCTGTTGCAGAATGAGCATTTGACCATAGGCTTTTTAGGCCGCTGTGAAGTTAGCAAGTGCTTCACACCATCACAAATGACTTTTATGTCTGCATTCATCGAGGTCTGCTGCGCTACTAATTGCTGTACAGAAGTAACAAGCTGTTTTTGGTTCTCTAGAACTTCAGAAAGCGCTTTGCTATCGGGTACTGCGGCGGCCCTATAAGCA